ACTCAATCCAAAAAAAATCAAGTATAAAAAATTCAAGTGCAAAAAAACTCAATCCAAAAAAAATCCAAGTACAAAAAAAATTCAAGTGCAAAAAAAAACAATCCAAAAAAACTCAATCCAAAAAAAATCAAGTATAAAAAATTCAAGTGCAAAAAAACTCAATCCAAAAAAAATCCAAGTGCAAAAAAAATTCAAGTGCAAAAAAAAACAATCCAAAAAAAATTCAAAAATTATTTTTTCAACATTCAAGTTAATGCCATTCTTTATCTAATTATCTCTCATTTCCTATTCTGCTACTCTCATCACCATTTCTCCTCCTATGAATACTCTACTACTATTCTACTTATCTTCTCCACAACCACCCCTATCCTCATCCTCTTCTAAACTCTTTCTTTCCACTACCTCTCTCCACTTTCACTATATTCATATCTCTGTTCTTATTCATCCCATTCATCTCCATATCTTTAACTATAATCATCTTCTACTTGAAAAAAAAAAAATAATTATCTATAAATATTGAATATCTATATATAAAATGTTATTTACATATTTCACCAAATTTACTTATATATTTCGTCTTTGTGAAAATATATTGTATAAATTTGAACTCAGTATAAACCAACTACTTTGACTCTTCATACCTCTAGTAAATATTTATTAAATTAATTTAAAAAAAAAAATAATTCACAACTTTTATATAATAAATATTAGTTTTGTCCATTAAAATATTAGATCAGATAAAATAAAAGCTTAACATATTATTATTCCATTTCTAAATAAATTAAAGGTTTGAATTTCTCGTCGAAAACTATAATAATACGACTAAATATCATCAAGAACCCATGTAAAATAATAACTTAATAAATTAAAATATCTGATTTTTCTTCTCCAAAATGGAAAATGTAAAATGTAAAATTAATAAATTCAATATTAAGAAAAACTGAGCACAGAAAACTAATTATTTCTGCAACTATCCATTCTATGTGCTATTATAACGATATTTTCACACTTGAATTTTGCATTACATTTTTTTTTTGAAGACTGATTGCCAGAACAATCTATTATTTTTTTTATTCAAAAATACGATTTTATTTAAATATAATTAAATAATAATTCTATTGTTTTAAATCCATTATACCTATTTTTTATTTTACATGAATATTTTTTAAACTGATATTTTAAAGTAACTGCGATCGCATTTATAAAATATCATATCAACATTAGACTAGATAGATTTACTATTAATAGATAAATAGATATACTTCTAAATAACTAAAATTTATATTAATATTCAAAATTGTGATATTTTATTTGCGATATCACTATATTTTTTGGTAAATTTTTGTTTATTTTGCTAAAAAAAAAAAAAAAAAAAAAAAAAATATACAACAAATTTGCTAATGATCACCCTCAAAAGAAAAAAATGAAACTTCCCTGAAAAAATATTGTTGTCTGATTAAACTTTGATGGTACAACAGAATAATAAAAAATCCAGGCAGTTATGTTTATTTGCATTTATTAAGAGAAAGATATATATACAAAGAAAAATTAATAACGGCACGTTAATTAATAGAATATATCGATTCTTTTTAAAATGACCAGCTCATTTCCCACAAAAAATGAGTTTAGATAATATATTGTAAATCGAAATATTCCCTTTATCAAGAAGTTATGAACGTTTCTAAATTTTTTTTTAATATTTTTTTCAAACACATTAAATCAATGACAAAATATTCCCACAATTATTCAATAAAGAATCTTGTATTTTTCATTCAAATCAATTTTTGATTATAAAAAATTATTTGAAAATAGGGTAGAAAAAAAAAATAAAACAAGTTTCATGTAATTATATATCCCACTCAAATATGGAGATAATAGAATATCACTAGCTTTATTTTATAACCCATTTAACTGCCATATTTTTAACCTCAATTCATAATTTTTTCGGCAGTCAATATCCAAGATCATGGCAGTAATTCTTTTATATAATGAATTAGACCAATTGCTTTCGAGTGCTTCTTTGTATTATAGCTTGATTAGAATACATTTCAAGCTAAATATGTCACTAACTGAACAAAATTAATAATATTAAATAAATTATTAATTTTGCAGTTAATTGAATAAATATCTGCAGTATTTGGAATTTAAGTATTCATCGGAAACATATGCACGCAGAATAACACTTCACAATATTTACGTAAAATTAGCTTTATCTCTGTGACTTCTTTAGTTATTATCAAGTAATATTTTCAACCAATCATTAAAAACTGCCTCAAGGTATTTGCAATAAAAAGATTTTGAAATTTGTTATTTAACAAACAATCTGATTAATCCATGAAAAAAAATTTCACCCTTGATTTTTTCAATGCTTAATCAGATTGCTCAAGAATATCGTTCAAATCATATTTATCCAAACTTGCTGCACTTCCCGAAGACGAGCTACCACCCATCGATGTAGGGGCGTTAAGCAGCATTGGTTCTTTACTAGATCCTCCTCTAGCGCATCTTGAGCCAGAGCCATCATAAGTCACTTTTGATGCCATCTTTGCTCCACTTTCTCTGTTCCCCGACCGTTCTCTATTCCTTGATCGTTCTCTGTTCCTTGATCGTTCTCTATTCTTTGATCGTTCTCTGTGTGATGATTGTCCTCCATGTCCTCCATGTCCTCCATGTCCTCCAGTAAAGTGACTGCTACGATTATCATTGAGAGAAATTTTTAGTGAAGCAAGTTGTTCCTCTAGATTACTAGCTTTTCTACTTTCATAATCTCCATCTCGACATACTACTTCTACTCTTCGGCGCGGTCTGTGAGTGCTATGACTACTATGATCTTCAATTTTGAGTTGAGGCCTTGTAGTCTTTGGTCTAACTGAAGGGTCTGGTCCAAGTTGCCTCTTCGATTCCCCCCCATCCACTGTAGGGCTATATAGAACAGGCTTCTGAATGCTTTGACGCGCTTCTGAACATAAATGGGGGATGGATACATGGGGTTTAGTATCATCTGACGTATCACCAGTTTGTAAAGGCCTAGGATGCTTCGTTGAATGTGATCTAGAAACTGCAGTATTTCTTGTTCTTGGAAATCTTTTAGATGGCACATCTTTCGTTTTAAAGTTTTGAAGCTGCATTAGCCCTAATTGATGTGCAAGTGGAAACTTGGAAGATTCCGGAGAACTAGGTCTTTGAATTTTTTTAGTTTTACTCATTTCTGATTTATCAGGTGATTTCATGCAAGGCTGCTCAACCGGCTCTTCACGTATTTTTTTTAGATCCGCTAAACAGAGTTTTTTCTTTTCTTGAGGTCTTTTAATGAAATCTTCTGTACAGAAAAGTTCCTCATCTGTGCTTATATCCTCAATATCTAACTCTTGTAGAGTAACTCTAAGAGGAAGACTAAGAATACTTTCTAAATTCTGTTTTCGTACTACAAAATCTTTATTAGTCTTAAGTGGAATTGGACACAAATCTCCAGGATTTGGAATATAACCACACGGTAAATTGATTTTGGGAAGTGCCTTTTTCTGCTTTTTAGGTAGCTCAATTTCACATGAAGGTTGAATTGAACTATCAGTTGATCCACGATTATCCCTCATAGCACAAGGCCTACATACACAAGTTCTACTGGAAAATTTATCACTCGTACATGTGCAGACTAATGAACTAGTAGTTTCTTTTTTGTCACTAGTTCTAAATACTTTAGAAATTCCTCTAAGTTGTTGATATTGGTTATAGCCGCTTTGTGTAGCTGTGGGACCACCAGAATCACCACCTGAATCACCGCCTGAATCGCCTCCTGAAGCACCACCAGAGGCACCACCTGAAGCACCACCAGAATCGCCGCCCGAATCGCCACCTGATGC